ACCTGTTTGCGCAATGAAGTATTAAGATGGCAATACTCCTCTTCATTGGTTTAATAGGGATAAAAGATTTTATCCTTAACTAAGTTTGTTTAAAAAAGGGTATCTCAAATGAAAGAATAATATATAGAAGGCTGCCTTAAGCAAACACGGTTATGAAGGCCAAAAGGTAAACCCACGTATTTACTGTGCTATATTCCATGGATCCCATTCCAGGGAAATTCACTGAGTTACTAAGGGGACGGAGGGCTGGACCGGTACCAGTCAGTCTGCCCTTGCTCCCCTCTCTGCTCTCCCTGGAAGCACAGTGGCAGCAACTGGGGAAGAAAGAAGCTCAATCTACTCATGTAACAGAGGCCAGCCAGACTCTAATGTGTACTGGCTCTGATCCACGCATGATGCTTGAGGTACGGTGAATCAATCATCTTCCATGGCTGACCCAAGCAGGTCAGTTCTGCTGAAGGAAGCAGTTTTACTGAGCTGGACCATGTCCCATGGTAAAAGCACATCCCATCACTGCGTAGCAGCCTGGCGTGCACTTCACATGCCCAGCAGCAGCGAGGAGCCTGAACCTTGGCACCACAAAGCCCTCAAACTCTACTTCAACCAACCTCCAGTTCTCTGGAGAGCTACGCTCAGCTCCACACGATGCAGCTCTATGTATACTGTCACAACCTAGGCATAGTGTTACTTCCAGCCTCCTCCAGTCACCTACCACTCTAACCAACGAAGTGACAGAGATGTTTCTTCATGACCAGCCCACAACCAGCTCCCTTTACCCTCAGCATAACCAAGCCACAGAGGTTTTCCTGACTGAGGACTCAATTTAGTCTCCTACCCACAGACATCTGCTATTGAGATCCTACAGTATCCCAAGTGGTCTTCGACTGCTGCACCAGAAACTCACGGTGCTCCCACAGGGTTTGCAAGTACTATGTGAATGTCTCCACTAATCATCTCCTGACAAGTCTCCCCTATTCTTCTCATAGCTAACTGTATTTGATTTACTTTACATATATAACTTACGGTGGTGAAGAGAAGAATGAAGTTACTTCATTAGCTCATGAGAGAAGCAACACTACAGCATGCTACAAAGATTCAGGAAACTCAATTTGCCATGAGAATGTCTTTTAAAAGCCTGACATCCTAACAGACACTGATGTAAATAGACACTAAATAGACCCAATTAGGCAAAAATGTTAATTAAAGATTTTATTACTTTTGCTAGGTAAATTACATATGTACATGGGCTATGAAAACTCAGTATATAAACCAGGTACATATCGATGTTACTTACCTATATTATTTACTTCTGTCTACTACTTATTATTTTATGCACTTAGTGGTTTAATTTCCATTCTGACTAATGGATGTCTTGAATTCAAAGATTCTTTTGATAAAATATAATATTAAGCATATAATTTTCAAAAACTAAGAATATGCTGAGCTAAAAATATGATTCAATAATATGAGATACCCACTCAGGTTTGTGCTAAGTATGCATTATCAACCAATATATTTGACTGGAAACCAAAAGAGAAAGGAAGGGAATTAACAATGAGAGAGGGAATAGGGATTCCTCCTAAGACTTTAAATATTCTTTTTTAATAGTTTTCCTGTTTAAAAAAAACCTCAATATTAATTATAGTAAGTGATTTTGAAGAGAATTTCCTAAATAATAGAGCAAAACAAAAGGATGAGTCAAACTCCCTTTGGATCAAAAGGAGGACATAGATGTAGGGTAAAGCAGAATGAATAAAGACTTTTTTTTTTAAGACAGAAAATTATTTCCATTCTTAAAAAGCAGCTCAAAACTACCACACAAGACACTGAAAGTACTATTAGTAGTGTTTTGCACGGTGCACAGGAGTTCACCAGGTGTCATCAGAAAGAGTGAACAAAATAAAAAATTGTCTCCTCATGCATTTATTTTGGCTTATCTGACTGGGCAATTTCATTCTATCTGTCCTTTCAATTTGCAAAGACTGTTCTAAGACTAATTTTTCTGTTAAATATTTTTTTAAATATGACACAATGTTTTCATTTTTAAGTAGCAATGTACACCACTTACAAACATAGCAGTGAGAAAGCTAGCTATTTAAAAAGGTACTAAGTTGCTAATAGCCTAAAATCATCAGAGAGGTGGTCAGTAGCTGCCAGTGAGCTCCGTCAGGTTCTTAGGTACATTAGGGACAAGTCATTTCAACTGTAAAGATCCCATTCATGGCACAACACATATTTAGGATTAATAATTCATTCTCCATGAAGCCACTGATAAAATGGACATTTTCTCCACTTTTGGTATAATCTCAAATATTTCATTTTATTTTGATTTTATTTTTAACTTAATCACTTTTGACAAGCCCATCTTTAAAATGCCTACTAGTTTTTGTTATTTAAGTCTAGTTCCACGTTAGGTGTACTGTTATAAAAAAATAACATTAACAATTTGTTAGTATTACTTCTTGAATTCCTGAGGCTAATACGAAAAAAACACTAAAAATGAAATATTGAAAAACTGGCAATTAAATTGTTTGATTTGGTGTCTTAACATGACGATTAGGAACAGTTTTCTGAAACACAAACCTGAGGTAATTTTTCAGGAATAGGCTCATTCTGGAGAGCCTGAAGGGCCTTCATTGCAGCATTATGTCTAGCAGCTTGACGAGTCTTTCCTTCACCAAAAAACTCACTGTTGCCAACAGTTAACTGGACATAGAAAATTTTAGGCACCGGGCAGTGATACCTGGAAAGAAATCATGAAAAGAAAACAACAAGTTACGAATTTTAACAATTCATTTTACGTAATATAGAGCAGTAGTTAGGGATAAAACACTATCTTTGCTGACAGCGCAAGACCTAACACTCAAATACATGGTTGTCAGTAACTCTGACAGCAGCTCCCAAATGCAAACCAGCTCTTCACCCACATTTGCAGGGCTCTGCAACGAGCTCTGCTGTACTTTAGCCCAACAGCCCAGCTCTGCTTTCTTCTTGGTTTGAATCTTGAGAAAATTGAACCTAAGGAGAAATGAAAGTTCCAGTGGAAGTCATGCCTGGGAGACAACTCCCGGCCCACAGGAAAGTGGTACGGACGAAGAAGGATTCTGAGGTCTCTCAACTGAAACCTGTCAGCATAGTTCAGCTCTTGGGGAGAACATAAAGTCAGACAGCAGAGAGTGAGGGACTTGGACAATGTACTTCTAGCCTCTTCTTAAAGCTCAATTATTGAAATTGTTGTAGCGAATAAGAAGGAGTTCTCTTCCAAAAGTGTAACAGAGGGTAGGGAGAAGCTCTCCTCCAACACTGTAATAATCAAACATTTTCCAGGCACTGAAAGGAAAGCAGCAACCATTATCACATTGTTTTCCTTCTTTTTCCTTCCTACAGAAAAATTTCCAATTACAATGGCAGAGTTTGTTTTTCTGAGCATGTCTGAAAGGCATCAACAGAAAAATAAAGCAAAAAATGGAACGTTTTCCTATGAACTGGCACAGCTATTATTCCTCAAAGAACGCAGTATCTTTATTCATCTCATCAACTCCACATCTCTATTTTCAGTAATAAAAATAGCTAACCCAACCCATACTTCCTACCCTGAAACCTGTCTCCCACTAGCAGCACATGAAGAGACGTAATGCCTTTCTTGGGTTTGAGAGGTCCTGTCACAGCACTGTGACAACTACAAATATAAGAGCTTGTCCACATAAGCAATTTCTACAGAAAAGAAGTATTCCACCACCACCCCCAGGCTCAGAAAAAGCAATTCAGCACAGATAATTAGTTCTAGTCACTGTGAAAATTATCATCTTTTAAGAGAACGTTTCCAAAAAGCCCTCTAATAATATTCTACTTAGTGAAGGAATTTGCTTCATACTCTTTGCACCATGGTTTAGTCTGCCTGTGCTCCCTCCTCAAACAAAGGTTTTTCTAACAAACTGGAGATTTGCTTCCTGGAAAAATATATACCTATTGGAAATGGTTTCTCATTTATGACAAATAACTTGTACATATTTTACGGCAATGTAAAAAAGTCTAGGATTCCAAAAGCATGGCCAAAAGCTAGGTCCATCACAACAAAACTAGAATCACTCAAAACCACAACAAAGCACTACATTTCCTTCTTCCTCTTAAAGGATCCTTACTAAAGCGTGCTCATCTGTTGACATGGATGGTGGGTTTTTTTGTATGAAGACTTTCTAACTTTTCACTAATAATTGTAACCGATTCGTTTCAACTACAAAACAAAGGTTTTTCAGACAGCAGCACACTTCAAACCCAAACAAGTGCGAAAAGTGTCCCTGAACTTTGTGCCTAATTCTAAAAATAAGTTTATATGGAAAGAGCAAAACCGTAACACTAGTTCCAACAAGCCTCTGGCTATAGGACCTTAGAGGGGTGAGCTAAGTTGCCTTTACGACATGCAAAAAGCAGGTCTTTATTTTGCTTTCCTGTTTACAGTTTAACACGGTTATAGGGAATTATTAAGGCCTGGAAATGCATTTGCTTAGGTAACTTTTTCATAAAATTACAGAATAACTCAGGTTGGAAAGGCTCCTGGAGGTTATTTGGTCCAACATTACACCCAAAGCAGGGTCAAGCTCAGAAGTTACACTGTCTTGTTCAGGTATTGTCCAGGGTATTGTGGATATCTCCAAAGATGAAGACTCCACAACATTTCTGGGCAATCTGTTCCAGTGTTTGACCACTCTTTCTGGAAGAACATTACAAAGGTCCTACACGTATAATGAAATTCAAACACTGTGGTACCATTCGTTAACGAAGCAGCTGTCAAGTCAAAGAAACAGATAGTTCAAGAACGTTAATTTCTATCCCACTCCACTGTCTCCTTCATTGCTTCCGACATGCAGCATTCACCTTCTGCCTCCCTCTGCTTCAAAAAGGTACAAACACAATACCAAGACACTATCAACATGACAGTATCTACAATAAAAAAGTACAGTGGCTTCAGACTGAGATTTACCTCAAAAAGAATGGTCATTTTTCCAGCGAAAGGCAGAATTTTACCCTTTCCCTTCACTGAACAAGTCTACATAAAGTGCTACCTATAACAACATTTTCCTTTGATTTATTAGTTTTATTTGGTTTGCAATACTGTTTTAGGGAACATTAAAAATAAATTTAGGGAACATGCAGGCAACAGATGTAAATAATACCTTGAAAGAATTTAAATCTAAGAATCGAGAACAGGCCTTTGACACCAAACATAGATCAAACTGTATTTCCAAAGCGAAAAATATTACACTTCTCTAAAATTAAAGGGAAAAATAATGAAAATATAGTCACCATCAACTCCACTTCTTCCACAGCTGGCTTAGAGCTGTCTGTCCCTGGCTCCTCTACACCGCTCATGTGATTCCTTAGTCTATCACAGAAACACAGAATAGTTGAGGTGGGAAGTGACCTCTGGAGATTCCCTAGTCCAACTCTCCCTGCTCAAAGCAGATCAGTTAGAGCAGACTGCTCAGGGCTGCTTCCCATTGGGTTTTGAGTATCTCCAAGGGTGGCTGAGTCAACAACCTGTAATCTGCTCTCGTGTTTGACCACCCTCACAGTAAAAAAGTCTTTTCTTATGCTTAAATGGAATTTCTTGTATTTCAGTTTGTGCCACTTCTTCACGGGACATCACTAAAAAGAGCCTGCCTCCACCTGCTTTACTCATTTACTCTTCTCGTATTTTACACCCGTTGGTAAGATCCTCCCGAGCCTTCTCTTCTCCTGGCTAACCAGTCCCAGCTCTCTCTCTCTCTCTCCCCCCAGATGAGAGATGCTCCAGTCCCTTAATCACCCCAGGGGTCCTTCACCAATTTTGTGCTGGTATGTCCATGTCTCTGTTGTATTGGGGAACCCAAAACTGGACCCAGCACTCCAGATTTAGCCCCTCACTAGGGCTGAGTAGAAGGGAAGGATGACCTCCCCCAGCCTGTTGACAAAAATCTTCCAAAGTCAGCCCAAGACACTGTTGGCTGCCTTTGTTGCGAGGGCACATTACTGGCTCATATTTAACTTGGTGTCCACCAGGACCTTCAGGTCCTTTTCTGCAAAGCTGCTTTCCAGCCAGATGGCCTCCATTGTGTAGTGACGTATGGGGTTATTCCTGCCCAGGTACAGGGATTTGCATTTCCCTTTGTTGAACTTCATGAAGTCACTGTCCACCCACTTCTCCTGCCTGTCGAGGTCCCTCTGGATGGCAGAGGAACCCTCTGGTGCATCAGCCACTGTTCCCACGTTTGTATCATCCGCTAACTTGCTGAGGGTATACTCTGCCACATCATCCAGATCATTAATGAAGATATTAGACAGTACCGGCCCCAGTATTGACCACTGGTGTACACCACTAGTGACTGGCCTCCAGCTACACTTTGTGCCACTGATGACAACCTTTTGAGTCCGGCAGTTCAGCCAGTTTTCAAACTGGCTCACTGCCCATGTATCCAGGCTATACTTTATGGGTTTGTCAATGAGGATGTTATATGAGACAGTGTCAGAAGCCTTGATAAAGTCAAGATAAACAATATCCAATCCTCTCCTCTCATCCATCGAGCTAATCATCTCGCTGTATAAGGCTATCAGATCGGTCAGGCACAATCTTTACCTTCTTAAATCCATGCTGACTACTTACAGTCACCTGTCATTCTTAATATGATCAGAAACGGTTTTCAACATGATTTCCCCCATCATCTTCTCACGGACTGAAGTGAGGCTGATTGACTTATTACCTTCCCAGATCTTTCTTCTTGCCCTTCATGAAAATAGGAGTGAAATTTGCTTTCTTTCAGAACTCAGAAACCTCCCCAATCACATAAATCTTTCAAAGATAATCAAGAGTGGCATCACTATCACGTCATTCAGCTCCCTCAGCAGTCACGGATGCATCCCATCAGTACCTCATGGATCTGTACTGTCTGTTTAAATGTTCCCCAACCTGATCCTCCTCCATGGAGGGTAAGTCCTACCTGCTCCAGACTTTCCTGAAAAGGACCTGGGACTCCTGACGGCCAGTTTTACCAGTAAAGACTGAGATGAAGGTCTTTTGAGTACCTCCATCTTTTCCATGACCATCAGGTCCCCTGCTGCACTCAACAGTGGGTCCCTAGTCTTCCTTTTGTTACCCTTCACATCCCTTTCAAGACTGAACTCCAGATGGACTTCAGTTTTCCTAACACCATATCTGTACACTTGTACAGTGTCTCTATATTTATCCCGGGTCACCTGACCTGGGTCACAAACCCTCTTTTGAGTTTAGTCCGAAGTTCCTTGTTCATCCATGCAGGCTTCCTGCTGCCTTTGTTTGACTACCTGCATGTTGGGATAGACGGTTAAACCTTTCTTGAGCTTGGAGGAGGTGAACCGTGACAAGCTCTCCTGGATTCCTCCTCTCTTCAGGACTGTATCCCCTAGGATTCTTCCAAGGTGGTCTCTGAAGAGACCTAAGTCTGCTATCCTGAAGTCCAGTTTGCAATCTATGACATTTGCCTTGTTCTCTCCTCTCAAGATCCTGCCACTATCTCACGGTCATTGCAGTGACTTCAACCTTCACACCTCTGACCAGTTCTTCTTTGTTCGAAAGTGTGAGCTCTGGCAGAATTGCCCATCCTCACTGATTCCCCAGTTGCCTATGTCAGAAAGTTGTCACTGATGCACTCCAGAAACCTCCAGGATTGCTTGTGCCCTGCTGGGATGTCCCTCCAACACATACTGGGGTGCTTAAAGTTCCTCATGAGGACCAGGGCCGTGGCCACGAACCTTCTTCCAGTTACCTGAAAAAGACCTTATCTACTTCTTGATCATTCAGTCTGTAGGAGATACCCACCATGATATGGCCTGCATTGGTACAAGGACACACACACACTCTCCTCAGCAGAGTTTCTGGCTTCCTTCTGCATGAATTGCTGTGCAAACTGCTGCATCTGCTGGCTGTCTCTGGGAGCAGTGCTCTAGGCCCTCTGCTTATATGTACTTCTCCCTACTACCTGCTGAAAGGGTGCTTGACCCTCTCTAACCAGGAGAGAGCTGGAAGAAAAGCTCAATGCAGTTTTTGATCAGGAGTAGCTGACAGAGCTTGTTGGCAGCTGCTAGAGCTTGCCAGAAGTCGCTGCCTCCTGTAGCTATCCTTTCCATGCAGCAACAGGCACCCTCAAGTTCCTCAAAGAGTTCCCAGGAATCCTGCCACCATCCCAGAAGTTGTTCTCGGAAGATCTAGGACCAGAGCCTGGAAACCACTGCACCTGTTGGCTGCCGCTGTTAGTCACAGCTTAGCACAGGATAAGCTCTGTCACGCAAAAGCAGGAGGCACCTTGAGAGCACATCCCACCTCATTACTTCACAATCCTCTTTAAATAAAAATAAATGGCGCAGTGCTGTTAGTAACTACCTCAATTTAGGGAAAATACATCAAAATACATCACAAGTTCCTGTTTCTTGTTGAGTTACTAGACCTACCTTTCTCTCTGTTACGTGCAAAGGAGGAAAGCATGTGAACCTCAATCCACTTTATAAACTCAGATCCCAGAACAGACCCTCTCTTTTTCCCTCCTCTCTCCCCACCTTTTCTTTTAAAGAGTGTTTAGGGAGCTATTTATGTGATAATATGGAAAAATGATATTCCGCCTGTGGCTCTAGAGCCTCATGCAGCTCTTTGGCATTGGCAGAATGATTAGGCTTTTACATGGTTTTGATTAAACTTTTCTTGCTCTGCTTGGCCTCAAGCAGAGTTACCCCAGCACTGATAATATGAACGTTGCCAGGAAAGTGCAAAGGAGCATCTGAAATCCGCAGAAAATGGCCTAAATCTGTGAGGATATTGGCTTCTCTACAACACAGAGCGTGTCAAATAGAAACAAAACATCTTTCTCTTTTCAGTGGTCAGGACAGAGACTGTTATTAACAAAAGCCTTAAAAGTAATCATAATATTACAGTCTGAAAGTACAGTGCAATGATTAAACTGAGTTTTAATACAGAATGATTCTGCATCCTGAAGATGCATGCTTGTGTAAGGAACAGTCCCATGCAAAGTTAAGATGATACATCTGCCACTGATCATTAACAAAATTTCCCAATATATTACATTTGAGTTACTAAAAAGGACTGAAAACATCAACAACCTTGGGAATATTTATATAGAATTTGCTGGTTATTACGCAATAACATAGCAACACGGGATTTTCCATCACAAGAACACCTACACATCAGTCCTACGCTCCTCAGCCCTCGGTCCCTCTCTTCAGCCACAGAACTGAAACATTCAGGATTTCCAACAGCGATGCTTCAAACTCATTAGGTTTCTTAAAGTTTTAAAACTACCTACATTTAAAGAATATGCATGTCCCTGAATTCTACGTGGCAGCTACAAAGGCTAGGATTTTCCTTTGGAGAAAATTCTTAGATAAAAAAGAGTCCCAGGTGATACTGGCACACTCCTCAGAACATAAGCTGACAGACACAGTCAAACGACGGAAGATTACAAGACTAGAAGACAACAAAAGGACACGTGAAACGATACATTCGGTAGGAAGAAAAAAAATTGGATAAAGGATAATACTTTAACAATCAGTCACATATAACCTATTAAAGTAAGTTATTTTTCATCTGGCTCTTCTGGACATTTGAGATTCTTAGGAAGATCCCTCAAACAAGAGGTCTGGAAACCAGGTTCTCTTTATTCCCTCTAAGTTTCATAGCATCAGAAATCTACTTTTTAGCAAATACCATTGGTATCACTTTAGAATAGTCAATCTGAAAAAGGATATTTGCTCTATGACTGTGACCTTGAATGCCAAGTTTCAGCAATGAGCAAATATTTACAACTAGTTATAAACCCCTAAAAATAGGGGTTCATAACAGAAATGCTGACAGACCTTAACTAAGTTGGTGTGAGCGGGCGCCACTATAATTAAATAAATCACCAAGGTCTGTTGACAATTAGAAAACTCATTTTGGTTTGCCACAGAGACAAACAAAAATTCTGTTCATTATAATTTTACTGGAATATGATGTCATAACATGTAAGCATACTGAAACAATCTGCTGCTTTTCTAGCCAAAATATTAATTGCATACTAAGGAGCCCTTGGGGCCTCTTCCTTTTTGGCCATCAAACCCACACACACAAAGACAAATAAAGTATTAGTACATACGTTATGTGTTCATACTGCATTTCCTGCATTTCTCTGGATTCCTCAATGGCATAAATGTTTCTGATAAATATTGTTACTTTATTCTTAGAAGGGGGAAAAAAAAACAAGTGCAAGCTGCAGCTCACGGAAACCAGGAAGGTTATTTAGATTTAGCCTCTTTTTCACTGCTAAAAACTCCAGTGAGGTTTTGTCTAAATTCTAATGGTCAATGTACGCTTCACCTATGTAAAAAAGAACAAATAAACCCAACTACTTCCCCACTTACACAAGCATCACAGGAAGTATTACCCTATTGCCATTTCATAACGCAAAGTGAAGAGGAACAGGGACCGTTTTGGCCAAGATGAGGGCCACTAAAATACGAGATACAACATGGTATGGGAAAGTTATTCTTCAGATGCCAGCTCCGTGCCGAAAGGGTCACTCTCTGCACTTCTTCCCTCTGGCTCCTTTTCCACACCAGCTCAATCAAGCTGGCAAGCCCTGTTGCCACTGCTTAACCAGGAAAATGCCGTGAGCTTTGCGAGCGGAGGGACAGAGAGCCACAGACTGTGCAGGGGAGGAGGAAACAGCATTTGCTGTGAACAACTTTTTCTCCGTAACATTTGAAATATCTCTAGGGGAGCAAGTTGCATAGTACAGCTGTTCCCTGGCCATGTCCTATTTTTCTAAGCAGTCCATTAGCCACGTGCATCTCTTACAGATGTGAGCTCTATGTTTTGAAGAAAGAAACATCCACTATAGCCACTTCTGTCTTCATACAGTCCACCTTCTGGTTCTTTCAGCAGGTCCACTACAACACCTGGGAACAAAGAGGCTCTCCTTTCCAAGTACTCCTTTTGAGAACTACAGTCCATTATCCCTGAATCAGTCTGGCTGTCCTCTTCTAGATTACCTTTACATCCTCCAAAAACATTCTTAATGTAAAGCACTAAGTATCACTTTTAGCCACAGACATCCCCTATTAGATGGAAAGATAATTTTCTGAAATTTCTATTCAGCTGATTTATTTATATAGCTTATTACCATTTTCACCTTTCTGATGTTGACCTCCCCTCAGCTACATAGACAAGATTTAAACAAAAGAAAAATCACGTATCCTTTTCCCAGATTGTCCTTCATTATAATTTGAATCTTTAAAACTTTAAAACTAATTTAATTAATTCTGAATGATTCAGTATTTTTTCTCTATATAGTATTTGCTATGATCAGTTTATGAAACCAATTTTGACCTAGTTGTAGAAAACCCCTAAGCAACACAATGTTTAATTGACTATGTAAGAATTGTAAAGAATAACCATGTGACAGAAACAGATTAACAGAAAGAGATTCAAAAGCATCTGTTAAATTTTTTTTTTTAAATAATGAGAAAATATAACAGAGATGCTCCCCATTTTAAGACACAGAAACCCCAAACCTTCTCTATTTCAAATGTAAGGATGATGCATTAAACAGTCAAGATCCCTGAGTCGCAGGCAACTGCACAATGTAGTCCTCTTTATCTATTAAGGTCTATTAGAAAACAAATTAGATTACTTGCTTCCAGTGCTTCTGCCGAGAGGATGATCTAGAAGCTGAACTGATACTTAGGAATCTCCTAATGTTCAGCTTGGCTATACTTTCACATTTTGTTTTGTGTCAATACTACCCTTTAACTTACATAGCTCATTTACTTTTTTGTTTCGTTTACCCTCCAAGGTGAGCTTTTCCATTCCCTTTCAGCCTTTGTTTTGCAAGGGAACAAATCAAGGTATTTTAGAAGTCTTCTGTATAAAAGGCTACCCAATATCCTGATAATTCTTCACAGCCCTTCCCTGTACTTGCTCCTGTTCTTAAATATGAAAGTCAAGGACGGCAGACAGTATACCATACGAAAGATTAACAGTGTTCTGTATAACAGCAACATTTACATATCTTTACCAGAAATATCTTGCTCAACACATCTTAAAAATCACATTTGCATCTCCTCTGGTTCAATCACATTAGTTGTTCTTAGTTTATTTATCTTATATTAACAAATAATATTAGATAACACTCCTGGTCTGTGATTTCCAACTGAATAACACTCAGGTGACAACAGAGTTAGTCCTACGAGTGCCTGTGGTCTTAATCTTACATTTCATACTGGAAAGTCTAGTCTCATCCCATTTCTAATGTGTCAGCCCTCACAATCATCCAACTCTTTCTGCATATCTTGATCTTCCTGTGTAGTGATGATGCCTTCTACATCCCATGGACATTTTCCTATTTTTTTGCAAACACTTTCAATGAAAATAATTAAAAAGGTGGATTCTAAAACTGGAAGAACTGTATTTAATATTCTTCCTCCAAGTTTGACTTTTAATATGGCTGATTATTTTTCTTCTCCTTTCCCACCTCGTATTTCTTAGACAAATCCCCCTCATCTTCTTCAGTTTAATGAAAAGAGTATCCTTATCTAATGCTATAAAATGCTTAACTGAATCCCACAACTATAAGATTTACTTCATTCTCTTTACCTAAAAAATGAGTTAACATATAACACGCAAGATTAGCAGATCAGTCAGACACAATCTCCCTTTAGTATACAGTAAGTTTGCATTGAGTTTTATCCTTTTTTACTTCCATGTCTTTATTTATACTTTCTTTTAAACTTTGTGCTGAGTCTGTGAATATTTCATGAAGTTAATGATGACTCCTTTTTTCTTACTTTTTTTCCTGGACTACAGACTACCCAGTTCCTTCGAACAGTATGACCAATTTAATAAAAAAAAAAATTGACTCATGTTTTCATCAACACAGTATCGAAGCATTCCTGAGTAAAAAACAAAAGGGAGGTGGATTCAGTTTAACATAACATTATCTAATGTGGAATCTTCCCAGGAGAATTTGTGATGACAAGACAATAATATTGCCACATCACTGTATCTCTGAATTCCAAGTTGCTCAATACAGACATTTGACTGAAATAAGTATTTCAATATTTACTCTCTGCACATACCACTACTTTGTTTACCATTTGCAGTAAATACGTACATCGACAAGTAAAGAATGGTTGCTTATCAAAAGTATTTAGAAGAAACCAACAGAAAGCTGCAGACATTATAAGTTAAACACTTCAATAGTCATGGCTTAAGCTAACAAGTAATACAGCAAACATATTGAGCCAGCTATGTAGCACTAGGTATAGAGGGATGCTCCCATGCACAGTAAGCTCAGATCTCTGCTTCTACTTTTGTCGTGCTCTCCCCTTCAGTCTAAAGCCTTAAAGTTCAGAAGCAGCACTTTTCAAAGTGTCAGAAGGGTCTCAAAACCAGCACAAATACCTTTTTTTTTTTTAAACAAAGAAAAACTAGTGCAAAAGATATGAGAGAAAAAAAGGTTAAGAAGAAGTAAAAGGAAAAAACCTAGGGAAAAAAGGATCATGAGAAGAACCTTCCAAAGTACTGTACACTGGATGCTAAGGTAGAAAAAACAAGTGAAAAACAACAATCAAAATCAAGAAGACAGCGCAAAACAAAACGTTATGTGCCTTTGAAGAAGTATTTTTATGTATCAACTGAATAACTAAACAATGAAAATGGTCAACACAACTTCAACTTATTCTTGACTGCAAAAATAGCATAAATAATGTAAGAACATAACAAGAATACTGCCTCCAGAGTTTAAGGCATTGGAAAATGTCAAGTGGACAATGCTGAAATGCAAATGGGGGCTGGGGGAGGAAAAGATAAATACAAAGAAAAAGAAAATGTTCTTTTCCGTGACATAAAACCAAGTACAATAAGAATAAAAGGGAAAACATAATGAAGCTGTGATGTACAGTGTATACTCAGAGGTTAAAGCAGACATCCAGAAGACAAACATCTCAAACCCTTATCTACTTTAGCTCATAAAATTTCCCATGAACTGTATTACTCACTAATCTTTACAAGCATGCAGAGTGGTTACTGAGAATGCCGTCCAAATATCCATTACAGTAAAAGAACATAAACAATGTTGCATATCTGACTACAATATAATTTTTTTTCTACATAAGAAACTCACGTCAAAAAAAAAATCATGTTGCTTGCCAGCCTAGAGGCTAAGCAAATGAGAGAATGAAGCACCTCACTCATTTCATATTATCATATCTTTATACCGGTAATATAATGATAATAAAAATGTTCCTAACAAAATCATCTCAGGCCTAGAACTTCACAGGAATTAATTAACCTAAAAGTCCACAGAGGAAGAACGCCCAAGAAAGCTCACAGAGTGATTTTCGCCATCCAAATTAACTTAAATTGAAATAACTAGTGTATATTGGGCTACATTCTGTTCCCACTTGGAGGAATGTAAACATACAGACATTAAATTGCATTATCCTCAGTAAAAAATTTAAGCTATCATTTTAAACTTGGCAATCAAAGGATTGAAAGGAAGAACAAACTGAAAAACCACACTTAATTCTGGCTTAACAAGCCACGTCTCAGCAGCTGAGTGCATTAACTGAGGATGCACGCTCTCCCACCCTGCTAGTTATCATCTCTGCACCCACTGAAAAGGTACTAGCATGGCCAGCTACAGCTTCTGTCCAGAAACCTTCCCATCACTGCCATCAGACTTGCAAAGAAATGAAATGCGAGATAGAGAGAGCTCGGTCAATTGGAAAGGGAGGACATTTTGTGTTGTCTTGCACTGATCCTACCAGGATGCTGAAAACAAGGTGGATGGCCTTACGAAGGAAGCTTTATCTACACCTGGGAGGGAAGGGAAGGGAAAGGGTCTGGTACTCAATCACAGTGAAGTTTGGAAGGGGCACAAAGGTTGGAAACCAAAAAGGTAAGTGGTGAAGTCTTTCGGTCCTTTGATTCCTTTCTACTTCAAAGCATAAAAAGAGCAGATTTCCTAGGGAAGTTTATTGATGAATAGCAGACATAATATTCTTTCAATTTGCTAACTTTAATGGGCGTAAAGGATTTACACCAATGACTGACAAGTAAATATAAATTCATTGCTAGTAAAAATGTAGAAGCGATGCAATGATGGTGCAGCAGTACCGGTCACCAGTACACAGTGACTTGCCCCAGCTGGTCCCCTGAATACAATTTAGTACTGAATATTAATACAGAAAAAAAGTTAGATCGTGTCAGATCAATATACCAAACCATAAGGCTGCAGACTTGCTAACAGGTAGGAAATGGAAGAAATGTTTGTAAGATGGTGTGGAATTGTATTCTAGACAGCAGGGACTCCACAAAAGAGTTGGAGGATCGAGATACCAAGGACTGTTAGAAAAGAATCAATAGACCCATAAAACCATTTAGGTTGGAAAAGACCT